TAAGACAGCGGGCGCCTGGTCCTCAGTGCACGCCGCAGCGACATAGCGGCGGAGAATGGACACCTTCCAGAGGGGATCTCTATGCTATAGAGGGAGGGTTTAGGGTTTGGGGTTTGGGGTTTGGGGTTTGGGGTTTGGGGCTTAGGGCTTAGGGTCAGAATCTGGGCGTCGGTAGGGCGTGAGGACTCGGTTTGGCTTGAGCTTCTGGGGGCTCAAAGGTCTTAGGTTTGAGTTCGCGTGAAGGGCACCAAGGAGCTCGTGGACTCTCAGTTGCTCGGCTTCCAGGTGTGCTGTTGATTGGCACAGCAAAGCACACGAGGCATGTGGTCCGATACCCTAAAAAACCCTGTGGCCCTCTGCCTAAACTGCCCAAACCCTAAACCCGGAAAACCCTACCCAAAAACCCTGAAGCCCGAGCCCAATCGTTTGGCTGAGGACTGCCTCCGCATGCTCTTCCTCCAGACGCCTCTGCACAGCCTGTTGCAAGCTGAAGGAAACCTCAAACCTTATAACCTCGGAACCCTACATGAACTAAAGACTATCTATGCTTCAAGGCAGAAAGGTCTTAGTTCTAGGTCGCTCACGGGCCAAGAAGACGTAAAGTAGCCCGAGAACATATCAAGGTATCACCTGATATCAACTCTAAACCCTAGACCCTAGACTCTAGACCCTGGACTCTAGACCCTACACCCTAGACCCTAAACCCCAAACCAAGCCACATTCCCAGAAGCTCAGCCCTTGTGCACCTCCTCCCCACGACTCCTACAGCCCCCCCTCCTGTTCCATCCCAGCTCTACGTGGATTTCCTGCCCTAAGTTGAGTTAGCAGTTTTAGGGTTTACAGGTTTAGGGAAACAAGGGATTCTTGGGATTATAGGGTTTAGATAATAAGTGGCCCTCGACGAATCCCAAGAGCAATTTGGGGTTCGAGAACAAGTCTCAAGATTTAGGACCCTAAAACCCTAAACCTCACACTTTGAACTCCAAAAGCCGTAAAACCTCCCGTATACCCTAAACCCTCCATCCCACTGAAGTATGGAACCGATACATACGATCCCAACGCACCTAACGATGTGCGAATTCAGAATAAATTTGTCCTAAGTCTCCGCTAGAGATCTTTGCGTGCCTGTCGCATGGATCGTCCGCAGGGCCACTTGCACAAACCCCTAAACCCTTAAACCCTAGAGGGTTTAGGGTTTAGGGTTTAGGGTCTAGGGTTTAGGGTTTAGGGTGACCCCCCTCAACCCTAGAAGCCCAAAACCTCGTAAACCAGCGCCTGCCTCGGTTCCAATCTCTTCTTTGGAGAGTAGCCGAAGCGTGACCTCAACTCGACGGGCCAAGCAGGGTTTAGGGTTTGGGGTTCGGGTTTAGGGTCTAGGGTTTGGGGTTTAGGGTTTAGGGTTTGGGGTTTGGGGTTTAGGGTTTAGGGTTTAGGGTCTCAACTTTCAACATACATTACACCCGAAGTCCTTCTATACTTGGGCCCCAAAGTCCCTATATAGGAAGTACTTTAAAGCCCAAATATTGCCTATTTAAATACATGGACCCTTAGGGATGTATTGACTCATTGATAGTCGATTGTTAGAATTCGTCAAAAGATCGCGCGAAGCTCCAGAAAATCTGATCACCCAAAACCCTACCTGAAGGCTCTAATGTAGCTCTTTTTTGGGTTAGTCATAGGGGATTCTAGTGTGCTACCCAAAACAGGTACTCCACAGGAGCCGTTAGGTAAACCCTAAACCCTAAACCCTAAACCCTAAACCCTAAACCCCCAGACTGAGCAAGCCTGTTTTGCCCTCAAGTCCTTGCAGTCCTCAAACTACAACCAAACAAAGCGTGTTCATCCGGAGAGCAACTTCCTACAAAACATCCTAAACAAACTAAACCCTAAACCCTAAACCCTAAACCCTAAATCCAACCCCTAACCCCTAAACCCTAAACCCAAAACCCAAGACCCTAAACCCTAAATCCTAAACCCCACGCGCAAGAACCTCAGCCCAAAGACCCACGCGCTGCAACAGCAAGACTCGCCTAAGCCTCTGAAACCCCTCAACAACCCTAAGCCCTTCTAAACCCTAACCCCTAAACCCTAAACCCTAAACTTGGGATGTTCCCCTTTATACTAACAGTCCTTGATAGGAATTTTAGTACCCCCCCTATGATAATCCCTTGTTAAGGGCTGTTAGAACAAGGGGGAACATCCCAACCTAAACCCCCTAAACCCCAACCTTAAAAAACCTCAACCCATATAGCCCTGGTAACCCGAAACCCCTAGCACCCCGAACACCTTAACCCCTAACACCCCGCAACACCCCCGAACGCCCCCAGTCCCCGAAAAAACATCCCTAAACCCTAACACCCCTGGTCCCCCAAAAACACCTGTTTCGAGCTCAGGGTCCCCCGGCCCAGAAATGGAAGATCAGCCTCATGGACCAGGGCTTTGGGTCGTGGCGCCTGGGACTTGAAGCTTTTGTCGGGCTCAGGTTAGTTTCAGGATTTAGGGGTTTACGGGGGCTTCTCAGTCAGGTTTTCGGGTTCAGGGTTTAGGGTTTAGGGTCTCGGCCCCCTGCCTGTCAAGGAATTTCTCAAGCCTGCGCACTAGCGCGGACACAAATAATACACGCCTTGGAAACCCGAACGTTTAGCCCCCATTCAACCCAAAAAGTTAGACTCTAAACCCTAAAACCCCGAAACCCTAAAACCCCAAACCCTAAGCCCTAAACCCTAAGCCCTAAACCCTAAACCCTGAACCCTGAACCTTAAACCTGAATCGTAAGCCCTCAACCCAGCTTGGATCCCTGCAAACGTCCGATGATGGCCACTGCGCGCTCCGAGGTAGCTTCCTGGTTTTTTCAGAGGTTCAAGAAAGTGCCTCGGCTTGGGGGCCCCCAATAGGGTTTAGGGTTTAGGGCCCTCAAACCAAGTTTTTAGGGTTAAAACTCCATGTCGACTCAGGCGTCAAAACAACTCTTGACTCAGAATGGTCCAACAATCCTCACCTCATACACCATGTCAACAATGTGTCGGGCTTGCGGATGAGCCCTAAACTCCCACCTTGGGGCATTATTTGCTTCCGAAGGTTTAACCTACATATCCTTGAACCCTGCACCTTCAATTCCAGCCCCCTACGCCCAGCCCCTGCTGCCTCACAGCGGCAACTAAACTTGAGAGAACCAAAGAAAATTCTGAGTTCTAAACACTTGACCACGCAAGGTCCATCCGATCCTTCTATAACCTCATGAACCTACATAGTATAGGTTCCTATATATATATATATACATACATGTAGAATTATCTTAACTGTAGGGCCCCAGGATATACTAAACATAGGTACATGACCCCATGACCCTTAGGGATACGATGGGGGGGGGGGGGGGGGGGGGGGGGGGGGGGGGGCGAACTTGTCAGTCCCAACACGCCAAGGATGGATCCTGACTCCCCTTACATCCTAACCCTAACACCTAAACCCTGCAAGGCCCTTTCACCCCCAAGGCGCTAGGAGCCCAAGGGTCTAAACCCTTAGCTCTAAACCCGGAACCCCCTAAACCCGAAACTCGCAACCCGAAACCCTAAGCCTAAACCCCCAACACGACGCAAGTTGTGGAGAATGGCCTATAGGATCCAAAGACCAACATCCCATAGACCCGAAGGCCCGACATCCCAGAAACCCTTAAACCTGAAGGGTTTCTGGTTTAGGGCTTAGGGTTTGGGGTTTAGGGTTCAGGGTTTAAACCCTAAACCCTACACCCCTAAGCCCCCAAACCGCCAAACCCCCAAACCCCTAAACTCCTAAACCTAAACCTAAACCCTAAACCCTATAAACCCTAAACCCCCGAAAACCCAGAGACAAGCAGGCGAGGTGCCATTGCCCTCTGTGCTTCACCGACAAGGCCCTCGAGCTCCTGTCTGCAGTTACAGGGTTTGGGGTTTCTAGGGTTTAGGGTTCATAGGGTTCATGGGGTTCATGGGATTCATGGGGTCCATAGGGTTTAGGGTTTAGGGTTTAGGGTTTAGGGTTTAGGGTTTAGGGTTTAGGCCATCGGTAAGGCCGCACACAAGCCCGGAAGCTGAAAACGATCAGGCCAGCGAGCAATCAATCCCTCCCTGCTACTGCACGAACTCGAATCTTGGTAGCCCAGTCACCATAATATAATAAGGGCACCCTTTTTTGGGTTGGTTACTTTATAAGGGAACCTTGAACCCCCAAAAAGGGAAAAGTGCACGACTGGGCTACCAAGTAGTCATGGTAGTTGAGAGACTGATAGCTCAATAAACAAATGCTTCTAACTTAAGGGCCCTTTTTAAGGGGTTTAGGGTTTAGGGTTTAGGGTTTAGGGTTTAGGGTTTAGGGTTTAGGGTTTAGGGTTTAGGGTTTGGGACCCTGATGCCATTAAGGACCCGAAGAAGAACCTAAGCATTCTCAGTGGGGGCTCTACGGGGAGCGACGGCCCAACTCAAGTGGAACGACGTTGGTTCCAGAGGATGGTTTAGGGTTTAGGGTTTAGGGTTTAGGGTTTAGGGTTTAGGGAGCGCAGGGAACCCGGGCCAAACAAGTTGGGAAAAGGTGGGGACTACCGTAGCAGCTTTCAAGGCCTTTTCAGTCGCAATGAGAAAAAGAGCGACGGACTCTGGCACGACAGCCAATGAACTTGTGAAGGCTTAGGGTTTAGGGTTTAGGGTTCAAGTCTGGCGCTTGAAATCAAAGGCTCCAACTTAGTTGGGTACAACGTCTTGGTCAAGCGGCAGGGTCAACACACGCCACCATGCGTGCCGGACATCCATCCAGGCTCGCCTCACGACAAGCTGCGCAGTAGCCCAGGCCTGGCTCACGAGGAGATGCACAATGCCAGGAGCCATGGTTGCGACAGTTCCGAGCACATGACCCCAGCAAGTGCAACACGAGGACACCACCATCCCTGCTAGAGCGGCTGAAATGAGATCCTCTCGGCACTGCTTTTGCTTCTTGAAGTGTTCTCGTGCTGCCTCGACACTCCCTGCAACTCAGCCTAGAACGAAGAATGCACCCACAAACATCTTCCTGATGATGCCCGCTGTGTTGCTGTAGAAAAAGCCGCCGCGCAAGTTTGAATCGCGCAGGGCCTGTTCAGCTCCCTGCGCTTGCGGATGCACATTGCTTGTCAGAACAAGCTCTCCCCAGGTGGCGGGGACGTGGAATGCGTGTCGGACATCCATCCAGGCTCGCCTCACGACAAGCTGCGCAGTAACCCAGACCTGGTTCACGAGGAGATGCACAATGCCAGGAGCCATGGTTGCGACAGTTCCGAGCCCATGGCCCAAGCAAGTGAAGCCCGAGGACAACACCACCAGCAGCCCTGCTGTTATGGCAGCTGACATGAGATCCTCTCCGCGCTGCCTTTGCTTCTTGAAGTGTTCTCGTGCTGCCTCGACACTCCCTGCAACTCCTAGAACGAAGAATGCACCCACAAACATCTTCCTGATGATGCCCGCTGTGTTGCTGTAGAAGAAGCCGCCGCGCAAGCTTGAATCGCGCACGGCCTGTTCAGCTCCCTGCGCTTGCCGATGCACATTGCTTGTAAGAACAAGCTCTGCCCGGCAGAAAGGGCAGGTGGGACTGCTGCCAGCTTGAATCCGCTCAGCAATCCACCGCTCCAGACAGGGCCTGCACGTTAGCCCACCGCAACATGGCAAGCCCAGATCTTCTTCGCAAAGCGGGCAGGGGTGACGGTTCATGGCGCGTGCGGCGTACAAGAAGTTGATTGAGAACTTGTATCCGGACAGCGATAGTCCGAGGCATGGTTGATATTTTGCAAGTGCGGGACGGGCAGTTCATGTGATCTGGGAAGTGGCGTTTGCGCTGCTCGCAGTCGCAGCTCCTTAGCTGCACATGCCCAGGTTGGCAAGGGTTTTGGGGTATTTGGTGGCTCTTGCTCTTGAGCAAAAACAGCTCAACACGACGAGCAGCTGGATGGTGCAGTGTTGGAAGCTACCCCTCTCGCAACCCTCCCTGGCGGGAACGTTCACCCGGACTTCGTAATTCGGCCCTGGGTCACTGCCCCTAGATGCTGCCACGGGGGTGAATCAAGGTTCCTGTGCAGCAGGGTGGGCTTCGGATTACGCTAAGCTACGGGGGCGGTGGGGTCAGTGCAAGCGGTCCTACCACAGCTTATACCTGTAGACTGTAGAATGCACGATAACCTGCCACAGCCTACCTCCTGCAACCCTTGCACATGCAGCTGAGGCCCGCTCCTTGCCCTAAGCCCTCAACCCTAAACCCTAAACCCTAAACCCTGAAGGTACTTGCCTCCTCGCGTCTTTGGCTTCGGGCTCGAAGCTGCGCAGGCAGGCCAGTGGATTCACGATTTGTGGGTTTAGGGTTGAGGGTTGAGGGTTGAGGGTTGAGGGTTGAGGGTTGAGGGTTGAGGATTTAGGGTTTAGGGTTTAGGGCTGAGGGTCGAGCGGGTAGGGTTTAGGGTTTCGGGTTTCGGGTTTCGGGTTTAGGGTTCAGGGTTTAGGGTTTAGGGTTTAGGACGTACAGGGTTTCAGGGCTTGGGCTTCGGGACTTGAAGGGCCTTCTTTGGGTTTTAGAGCTCCTAGGGTCTTATAGGGTTCTGGAGGCTTATAGGGTTTCAGGGCTTGGGATTTAGGGGCTCAGGGGCTCGCCTGGAACCCTAAACCCTAATAAACCCTGAACTGAGGCGATTCATGCGCCCTAGCAAGTCTCAGAAGCCGAACCTTGGCAGTTCCTACACCCTAAACGCGGGGGGTGGGTGGGGGAGGGGGGTGGCGGGGTGGGGTTTGTTGTGGATGTTCCCCCTTATACGAACAGTCCTTTTATCGGGATTCTAATCGGGGGTACTGCAAGCGGGAACATCCCAAGCGAACTCAGAACCTCCGGTTTGGGGGTTTAGGGATCAAATGTCACAAAATGGCCCCTAAATCGTTGCAACTAGCTGCAGAAATTGCTGTTAAAAGTGCAATGGGCATTTTGAACCCCGACCGACAGAAAATAAAGCAAAACAACACACACCCCCTCCCCGCTCTCCTACACCTAAATCCTAAACCCTAACCCCCCCCCCCCCCCACAAGCTCGAGACACCAAATACACGATCCTCCTCAAGCCTTAGAGCCACCAACTTTATTGCCTCAACACGCGAAGCCCCATTTAAAAAGCCCGAAATCCTATCCTCGTGCTGAAAACGGGGGTTTATAGGTCTAAATCCTAAACCCTAAACCCCAAACCCTTAAGTTTTACGGCTCAGGGCTTTAGAGGTTCAGGGTTTATACTGGGGAGGCTAGGGGCTGCAAATGTCACCCCCTAACAACCTAAACCCTAAACCCTAAACCCTACACCCTAAACCCTAAACCCTAAACCCTAAACCCTAAACCCTAAACCCTAAGCTTAGGGTTCACCTAGCAGGTTCACCTAACCGCCGGCCGCTCTCACTCAGGGCCCCGACGCGTCCCAGAGACGACCAGCGATGTAGGACATCGAAGATCCCTAGGCTTGGCATCTCAAGGGACCTAGGGTTTAGGGTTTCAGGGGTTTAGGGTTTAGGGTTTAGGGTTTAGGGTCTAAAGGAGGGACCCTTATAAGGGATCTTACGGGTAATATGGGGTGATGTACATGCTACTCGGGTATATAGGGACGATATAAGGTATATGCAGGGTTAGAATGGGTTTATAAGGGGAAAAAAGATTAGCGATTTTTCTAGGGGCCACATCCTAGATACAGGTGGCAATGAAAAATGTATATACGTTTTAGGTACAAGATGGTACAAGTAGCCATAATAGGAACCCAGAACCGAAAACATATTAAAGCATAGTACTTTAAAGGCTAGAGGCGCGGTGTCAGTGGACCTTCATGCTGAGAAAAAGTTAGATTCTTAGAGGCATTAACGGCGAAGCTTTCGATCAGATTTTTGTCACCGTAGTACAGGTTGGCCTGTCCGTCGCACCAATATCCGCTAAGCCGCGAATCCTGTACTTTATTCTTGTATACTTGTGCCCCAAAGTCCTTAATTATATAGGAAGTACTTTAAGGCCGAAGTACCTTGTCCAGATGCATGGACCCTCAGGAAAACTGACACCCCCACAGAGCTACAGGAAATGGATTTTAGGGCACCGGTAAGCCGTGCGCACCACACTTTTATAGATCGAGCAAATTCGAAAGTTCACCCCCTGCATCTTGCACGTTTACTGGGCCCTCAATTGCAATTCCATTTTGGATACCTAAAGTTGCCCTCAACCCCGAAACGTGGAATCTCAAAATCTCTGATCCCAGAACCCTTAGCCCTATAGGCAATGGAAACCCTTGTACAGTAGCCCCTACTTCCTGCTTCGACCCTATTTAAACCCGCTTTAAACCCTATGGATTCACGCTTTGAAAGTTTTTTCTGTTTCAACCCTATTCAACCCCTCTTTGAACCCTGTTTAAACCCAATTACAATCTGTTTCAACTCTATTTACACCCTCTTGAAACTTGAACCCTATGTGAACCCAATTACAATATGTTTCAACTCTATCTACACCCTTCTTAACCCTTGGTAGCCCAGGAACCATATTTCAATAAAGGCACCCTTTTTGGGGTTGGTTACTTCATAAAGGAACCCATAAGCAAAAAATAGGGTAAAGGGTACCACAACCCTAAACCCTAAACCCTAAACCCTAAACCCTAAACCCTAAACCCTAAACCCTAAAGGGCTATCGAGAACCCCTATCGACTCATCCTGGGCCCACCACATCGCATCAACAGCTGGCTCTCGCGTCGCAGCTTCTCCTGCGAAGGCTTCGGAGAGCTTGGGAGTTACCTAGGACCTTTTGAGAGACCTATTCAAGGTACCCTAAAACCTGAACCCCAAAACCCTAAACCCTAAACCCTAAACCCTAAACCCTAAACCCTAAACCCTAAACCCTAAACCCTAAACCCAAACCTCAAACCCTACACCCCAAAACCCTAACCCCACACCCTAACCCAAAACCCCAAATACGGCGCTTGTCGAGTCGTAGGGCTATGGGCTTTGAGCTGAAGGTTTAGGGTTTAGGGTTTAGGGTTTAGGGTCTAGGGTCTAGGGTCTAGGGTTTAAGGTTTAGGGTTCTAGGGTTTAGGGTGTAGTAGGGTTTAGGGTTGAGCGTTCAGGATTCAGGGTTCAGGGTTTAGGGTTAAACCCTAAACCCTAAACCCTAAAAGGCTCTAATGCCCACACGCGTTGCTAACAGGAACCCTGTGCCCCACGCTCAAAACCCTAGCCTAAACCCAACTTGGGATGTTCCCCCTTATTATACTAACTAACAGTCCTGAGTAGGGATTATAGAACCCCCTCTTGCCATCCCGATAAAGGACTGCCAGTAAAAGGGGGAACGCTGGCTACCAAGAACCCTACCGGCACTAAGGCCCGCGACTCTATGAAAACCCTACGTGAGCCCCCAAAGCCATCAAGCCCCCTGAACCAAAAGAAAAACCTGCATTGGATGGTCCGTTTGGGCATTCCCTACATGATAAGAGCCCGTTCTATTTATGTAGCAGCTGCGCAAAGTCGACAATAAACCCTATAGAACTAACTAGAGGCTCCACGGGTCGAATCCCAAAAGGTGCAAGCGACAGGCCAAGTGTCAGCACATTTTTTCTTGTGCTGCGTGCGCGCCCCCTGCGAAGCCTGCAGGAGCTCCCTGAGTTCCTGGGATAAGTGCGCTTGGAGCAAACTGCCGCGAGGGAGAGGTTTCCGTGGCGTGCGGCCCCACCCAGGTGCGCCGAGAATCTCACCCGTGCAAAAGTCAACAATGATACTTGCACGAGTGATGTTTGCCTCTTTGCCCCCGGGAGATCAGCGATGTCCCCCGAGGTTCACCGCCAAGCCCTCCGCGTGTCGGCCTCAGTCCCAGACTTCAACAGTGATTCTGTGTCCTTCTCCAGCTGATACTCCAGGCCGCGTCAGCCGTTGCGCAATGCTGCTCAGGTTGCGGAATTATGTACTAACCCTACACGACTCACCGCCGAATTACCCAAAACAAGGCCCAAAAGCCTCTGCCTCCCTAAAGCCTAACCTTGGGATGCTCCCTCTTACACTAACAGTCCTTAATCGGGATTGTAGTAGGTGGTACTAGTGTCCCTATGAAGGACTCTTAGTATAAGGGGGAAGATCCCAACCCTGAACCCTAGCCACCTACATTGGGTTAGGGCGTGGATAGCCATGCCAGGGTCCCATATATCAGAGGAAACTGAGCCCATATCGTCGCCTAAATTGCTACACCGAAAAAACGGCTTAGGATTTGGGCTTGCAGGGTTTAGGGTTTAGGGTTTAGAGTTTAAGGTTTAGGGTTTGGGGTTTAGGGTTCAGGGTTTGGGGTTTGCAAAGCCGTAGTTCTTAGGGATGCCTCCAGGCTTATTGCCGAACACCCCAAAACCCCGGCCACTGCTCTCCTTGACCACTGCATCCTGGGCCGAGGGAAGGTGGGGAACTAAGGCGGGTGGCGGGGGCTGCCGGATCAAAAAATAAAAATAAAAAAAAGGATCAAAAAAATAACGCAGCCCAGGATCAAAAAATAAATAAAAAAAAGGATCAAAAAGAAAATAAACTTCGACTTCGAGTACGAAAACTCGAGTTTTGGTACGTTTTCGGAACCCGATCGAGGACCCTCTCACACGAAACGCGTGTCGACGTGCTAAAACTCGAGTTTTGGAAAGGTTTTCCGGGCACGATTGACGACCCGCCCTCTCACACGAAACGCATCTC